AAGATCCTGAGTGATAAGCTGTGCCTCCTCCAAGGGTTCAAGAAGTGTCCGGCAGGTATGCTGGCCCATGGGAGCCCATCTGACTACCAGGCTGGGGGAGGCCACAGCAGAGCCCAGGAGAGTCAATGAGGGGCTGCTATAGGGGTTTTCTAGGAATCCCTTAACAAAGCCCCTTAAAGTGGTGGGTCAAAACAACAGTTATCTGCTCCTAGTGCTGAGGGCAGAAGCTGGAGCTCTCAGAGCTCTCTGGGGCAGGCTCTGGGGAGGGCCCTGCTCTCCTCCTCCCACTCCTGGTGGCTGTCCGAGTCCCAGGTGATTCTTTGGGCTCAGCCTCCACTGTTGTACCACTGCTCTGTACCTTCCTACAAGGTACACCAGCCATTGCATTTAGTGCCCACCCTAACACAGTATGACCTCCCTCAACTAATGACACCTACAAGGACTGTATCTCCAAATAAGGCCCTACTCTGAGGTTCAGGATATGGATGGGGGGAGCGAGGGGGAAGGGACACACAAACTGGGGGACACTGTTCCACCCACACAGTTCCTATTGACATACAGGCTCTAACCTAACGGGGTGATATAGCTGAAGGATGCCATTTCTGGCTAATGGCTGCTCGGTGGAGATTCCTGGGGCCAGTGGGTGTCCTGGGCTACCAGGGAGGCAGCTCCCTGCTGGCTGAGTGGTTCTGGATTACAACCAGGGGTGACTAGGCCCATCCTACCCTCTTAAAGTTCACAGAGGAGGCAGGGAAGCAGGTGTACTCTGCGAGGTTCCTCTAGGAAGCACCTACTGCATACCAGGATCTGTGTGGGAGCCAGAGGGGCCAAGAGGCCTCCAAGGGCCCCTTCTGCTGCTGTGGGGACAGACACCTGGAGATGAGCCTGCATAGGAGTGGGCACAAGCCCTGGGGGGCCCTGCAAGGAAGGGTGGATTCCTTGTGGGGCGGGGGGAGGCTGTGAACAGAGTGAGGCAGGGGCCAAATAGCACGGGCACATGCAGTGGGATGGGCCTAGGCCATGCGGGGCAGAACTGTCCAAGGCAGCAGTCAGACATGCGATTTTACATAAAGTGCAGATCAGTTAGGTTCTTACGGCGAGGAGCACACACCATTGGGCTTGATGTTTGGACCCCGTTGTAAAAGCAGGATGGAAGATGGATCGGGGAGGACTGGGTGGGGAGGCTGGGAGGCTGCCGGTCACTAAGCCAGTCAGGCAGAGTGGTGAAGGGAGGACAGCACAAACCCGCTGTCAGCAGGCTGGAGGCACCTGTGTGGACCTGCCTGTGGGGCCTGCTGGTCAGGACCTGGAGAAGCTACTCAGGAAGAAAGATGAAATCGGGGGGGGGCTGTGACAGGCTTGTTTAGAGGACGCTCTCAGCTCTAGGACTGCCATGGGCCTGCTGTGGGGTGTCTGGAGCACTATGGGGTGTCAAGTGCCCCAGTCTCCACCAACTAGAGTCATAGTACTCTCCAAAGTGTGACAACCAACAGTGGCTCCAGACACTGCCAGTGATCCCCTGGAGGGCAAAAGTGAAGGAAAACAAGTGATGGGGCTCAGCACCTGTAGCTCAGCAGCTAGGGTGCCAGCCACATACACCTGAGCTGGTGGGTTC